ATGACAGACATGGTGACTTGAGGGTGAAAGTCCTTTTGTTGTCGCCTGCACGTCTCCTCTTACCACAACAGATAACATGTCTACAGTTGAGGCAGAGAGGGTGGGGAGGCGAGAGTTGGGGAGGAACTCATCTTGAGTGCATTTATCTAAAACACAGACGAGATGTTAAGCCCCTTAAGGATGAGTGGGGAGGTCAAGTGTTGGTTTCAAGTCTCCAGAACTTTTTTGTCCCTCCCCTCCTAAAGCACAGAAGCAACAAGAAACATATGTTGTGTACAGTAACCTGCAAAAGGCAAAATGATTCAGTGCAATTCAAAAATGCTTTATTAATCCCAAAGGGAAATTAAATGTTGTTGTAAGTATGACTCATATATTACATAGGTTTCCTTGAAAAGTTGTTGTGGATGCTGATGGCTGTGGGCAGGAAGTAGTGTGTGGGAGTTACTAAGAGTCTGAGGAAGCCTTTGATTAACGATCCCCTGTTGTTGTATAAACAGTCTGATGAAGATGATGCTCAAGCTTGTCGGCAATGTTCTTCAATTTATGAAGAATCCTTCTTTGCACCACCACCATCATCATCATCATCATCTCCTGAGGGAATGTTCTTCCTCAGGTCAGAGGTGATGGGAAGATGGAGGGAAACCTTTTGGAGACTCTGAAAGACCTGAACCTGTGTGCGAAGGTCCAACTTCCACTGGGACAAAAGATACGACTGAATAATTTGTGTGTTGGAAAGACCTAGTCAAAGTCTAATCTTAAACCAATTGATGATCTGTGACAAGATTTAAAATTGACTGAACTTGAGCTACTTTGCAAAGAAAATTGGGTGAAAACTTACAACTCTTCACGAGAAGCTGATAAAGGCATACCGTGAAAGACCTTCAGCTGGACTGGCATCACAAGACGGTGTTATAAAGCTTCGACTCAGACATATCTTTCAGATATTTTTATTTCTAAATGTTTTTGTTGCTGTTGAAGTTTGTTGATTTAACGTGACAAAATACAAAATGGGGTTTCAACACTTTTTGAAGAGTAAATACTAAGGAGTTTGAAGCAAAACCTGAGCGTATTGCAGCTTTAACTTTATTTACGATCATATAAATACATGACCGACCATGAAAGCCGAAAACAGGAAAAGATCAGGGAGTTAAAACCACGAATCTGTAAGTTATCTATCTTTTTTTGCTTGACACGTCATATGCATCTTGATTATAAACTGATTTTTTTATCTTACTGTACATTTATGTATTTCTTAAGGAAGAAAATCACATTAAAGGCCTATTATGATTCCAAGCTGTGCAATGACCACTATTAAGCATTTTGTTTCACATGTAGAAAACGGTTTATGTAACATAAACCCGAGGCCCCCTGTTGGCATTTTTCTTCTGCTTTCAGTCATATCACATGGCAAAAACACACTTGCGACTGTGTAACCTGACACTTTAAATGAAAACAATAAAATAATGTTTTGTGTCGCAGCAGAAAGCTCCAGAGGAAAACTTTCAAGGGCTTCACTGGAAACATCAGAGCGTCAGGGTTTGTACACAGGAAGTATCCGCATTTCTGGATCTTCTTCCATATATCACTGTCTAATGATTAATCCATCCATCCATC